AAAAGAAACAGTAAAGTTGTGACATGGTGCTTCATATGGTGTAGAACTGGGGTCCTCAAACTTTTTAAACAGGGGGCCAGTTCACTGTTCCTCAGACATTGCTGGGTGCCAGACTATACAGTAGTACCTCGGGTTAAGAACTTAATTCGTTCTGAAGGTCCGTTCTTAACTTGAAACTGTTCTTAACCTGAAGCACCACTTTAGATAATGGGGCCTCCTGCTGCTGCTGCACCGCCACTGTGTGATTTCTGTTCTCATCCTGAAGCAAAGTTCTTAACCCATGGTACTATTTCTGGGTTAGCCGAGTCTGTAACCTGAAGCGTATGTAACCTGCGGTACTACTGTAGTTTGAAAAAAAATATGAACAAATTCCTATGCACACTGCACATACAGTGGTACCTCTACTTATGCGCACCTGTGGTTATGTATCCTTTGGGATACACATACGGCAAACCCTGAAGTAATTTTCTGGGTTTCACCGCACACGCACGCACAGAAGTGCTCTACCGCACCACGCGCATGCGCAGAACAAGCACCTCCGGTTGCGAAAACCTCAAGATCTGACCGGAGCTCCGAAACAGATCCCATCCACAACCAGAGGTACCACTGTATTTTATTTGTAGTGCAAAAACAGGAAAAACAATACAATATTTAAGAAGAAGAGGAGAAGAGATTAGATTTGATATCCCGCTTTATCACTACCCTAAGGAGTCTCAAAGCGGCTAACATTCTCCTTTCCCTTCCTCTCCCACAACAAACACTCTGTGAAGTGAGTGGGGCTGAGAGACTTCAGAGAAGTGTGACTAGCCCAAGGTCACCCAGCAGCTGCATGTGGAGGAGCGGAGACGCGAACCCGGTTCCCCAGATTACGAGTCTACCACTCTTAACCACTATACCACACTGGCTCTTAAAATGTTATGCTATGGGTTGTAGTCAATGCCAGTTTGCTAGATCACTCAGAGTAGATCTACTGAAAATAATGAACACGAGTCACTTGGGTCTACTAATTTCAATGGGTCTATGAAGAGTAACACTGAGTTTTGCCCACCTCCCAATTACTTGCAGTACTATCCAAAACACCTTATTATTATTAAATTGGTCGTATACTTGTTGAGCTTGTCTCTTGGCCTGGGCTTGGGGAGGGGGAAAAGGTGGGGAGCTAAGAGAGGCAGAGACCATTACGTTGCCCTCCTGTGTTTGCAATGTATCTGTGAACGTTGGTGAGGGATAGGCGATCAAGCAAGCAGCCACACAAACATATATTAAAAGGAGCACCTTTGGCTATCCCTATCCTGCTTCCCCTAGCAGCCCAGTGGTGTCGAAGGTCTCCCCTCCAAGCCCTCCTCAACTGGCGCAGGTAAGCCTTGGAACGCTGGGATTGGGGCCTTTTCGGAATGCCGAGGAGCCTTTTGGAATGCCGGGGACGGAACTGTTACTACTTTTCGCTGCTTCCCTTTTTGTGTGCGCCAAGCGTTTGCTTAGAGCCTCCCCGTGGGAAAAGGATAAGGGGGGGGCGTGACACAGTGGGTTTTGCAATTGCTGGGCAGGCCAGGTTCAGGACTCTGGTGGACCAGATCTGGCCCACGGACCATAGTTTGAGGACCCCTGGTATAGAATCTAGGTATGAATACTCTAAAGCACCAGAAATCTGCGTTACGTGATGATTCTGCATATTTTAAACTTCTTCTTTTTTTAAAGAATGCAGCCTAAAGCCAAGAACCACAATTCATATCTGGTCTTCTCTTTTAGTTTGTGCCAGATAAGACCAGCAAGACTCATGCAGGGCTAATAGATGCCCTTGGTTTCATAACTTCCCACATATCCTATAGTTTAGTTCCATCTCGAGATAGACATTACAAAAGAATGAATCAACATGCTTTGACTTTTTTCTGCCAAAACCAAGAAAAGAAGAGATATGGGTCAGGGGAGCAATCGTAATCCAGACATAAGTCACTATGGGATCATTACATTTAAACAGGGGCAATGGGACACCAGAACTGATTTGCCTCCACTCCAATGACATGTACCAGGATCTGGATTCACTCTTAAGGGTTTGGGGAAGCCCAAGCCAATTCATCTATCTGGGAAAGCACCAAAGGGTTGAATCTCAAGTGAGTAATTTCACCTCACCATTCCTACTGCAAACTCCAATATAGTTTAATTCAACTGGTGCCAGATGATTTCTGCACTGTGTCACAATAATGCAAGTTGGCTTTGCTTAAGGCTACGGTAATCCATGCACTTCTCACCTCCCATGATACCAAAACATCCTGCCAATTTACTGTGTGCTTTCCCAGTACAACATGTTTAATGTTAAACTTGCAACCACCCTGTAAAATTAGGTCAGTACTATCTCCGTATTCCAGAGGAAACTGGCTGTGACTTGCTTGAGGCTACCTAGAGAGTTCGTGGCAGAGGCAGAATACAAAACAGAGACTTACTGATTCATGGTTCAGCTTCGTAGCCATGACCAGTTCTGTAACACAGTTTGGAACACCTCAGTTGGTTCTTCTCTCAAACTTGAAAGAGGAACATCCAACAAAATAAAATGATAGGAGTAATTTATCTACGCGCTCCTCTGCACCAGGAATAGGGAATCCTTCAAAGATGTTGCTGGACTCTACCTCCCATCCCTGACCATTGGCCATGCTGGCTAGGCTAATGAAAATTCAAGTCCAGCAACATGTAAAGGTCTACCAGTTCTGAATTCCTGTCCTATACCATTTTTTTAAAATACAGGAAATATGAGTGATCGATTGTCGCTAGTAAAAAAAGCCCTCAGTTCTTCATTAACAAAGCCCCCCATCTTGAGAGAAACACACGCTAAATACTGTCTAGCACACCATCCATTTACCACCCACAGCCTTCCAGTCTGCATGGGATAAACCACTGCTTACAAAACAGCTTACTCTGTAAGGGATCTGAAGAAATAATGAGTTTTCTATCTTTCTGTATCTAAGTGAGAAGAGATATGTGAAGAAAAGAACAGGCACGAAATAGAGGGAACTAAGTTATAAATTTACGGGTGGAAGGAAGTGAACATACAGCACAATGCAACAGAGAGAAAATATAGAGGGTACACGGCCTAGAGTTATTGCATGTGGACTGCTCGTCTTGCGACACATTTTAACTATCCTTTTGCCTATGAAACTACTATGACAGAAACAGATGGCTTTCTATTCCTCCACTGCATGCTTTTACGCACGGAGGAAAAAATCTGGTTGCAACTGAAGCAGCTATAGGACAACTTGCAAGAGTGGAGTGTGATTTTACGCAATTGTTTGAAGCAAACAGGCTAGGAAAAGTGTGTCCGGGAAAGATAAGGCACAGGTAAGAAATACAATTGTGATTAATAGGAATAAGGGTAACAACCAAAGAATCTTGCACACAGAATCATAAAATTGGAAGGGACCCTGAGGGTCATCTAGTTCAACCCCCTGCAATGCAGGAATATGCAGCTGTCCTGTACAGGGATTGAACCTGCAACCTTGGCAATATGAGCACCATGCTCAAACCAACTGAGCCATCCAGGCTATCTTCTATCATTTCAACTTAGTCTAACCTATATCAATTTATTCGGAATAACCACCAGCTTTGATGGTATATACTGACAAACCAGTAATTCCTATGACAGAAACGCTATTCCCCAAGATATATAAGCTCTGGAAAGGTGGAGTGGGGGCGGGGGATGTTGCCTTCCACTACTCTGCAACCAGACTGCACGAATGAGGAGCACAAGGCGTCACCCGATTTGCATTCAGAGATCTTCGGCTTGGCGTCCTGAAGCCCCGAGAGGATTTTTGAGGAAGGAAGGATAGAAGGTTCTTCTGTAATGGGGCGGCGGGAGGAAAGAAAGGGTTAAGATACGGCGAGGCGGAGGCTTTATTTAAGAAAAAGAAACACACGCAGGTGTGTAGGTAGGTACCCAAGAGTTGTTACCCATCCTGCACACACATACATTACCGGGGGTGGGCTAGTGGGCACAACAACGAGCCGAGGTGGGCGAGATGTTTTCGTTACGTGCGCAAAGGACTTTGGACTAGACCTGCTCTGGAGAGCCTAGATTTGGGTGTCATGGTGGGGGTGGGTCGGTGGGCGGCAATCGTGGCACCGGGAGCGAAGAAAGGAGTGGGAGAACCTGCTTGGGGCAGATGCGCCAAAGCCACGGGGACGCTGAGATAGGGGGGGGGGAGGAAGGGGAGAACGGCGAACGTGGCCCGCGCGCCCCGCAAGACTCACCTCAAAACGGAGCCTCCCCCTCCTCCTCCTGCTGCTGCTGCTGCTTCTTCCTCGGCTCAACTAGCAGCTCTTGCTGCTGCTGCTGCTGTTGGACTGCAGGCTGCGCCGCGCAGCAGCGGCCCCACTTCCTGTGAGCGAGCGAGGAAATGAGGCGGAGGAGGCGGCATCGGCGCGCCTCAGCCACTACTCTCCTCCCGGCCGCGGCAGCCCCTTAAAGCGATAGGCACCGGCGGGAGGGGAGCGTGGCTGCTGCTGCCGCTGCACTTCTTCGCTTTCCTCCTGTCCATGCTACCCGACCCGCCCTGCTGGCAGAGGGGTGAGCCATCCGAGGGCGAGGCCAGGCGCCCTCCCGCGGCCACAGGGGCGGGCGCCCTAACCCCCCGCCCCCTCCCCACGCGACGGGTCTCGTCTCCTCTCGACGCCACCCTACGGGGACCCCAGCGGCTGACGCGGACAAAACCCTCCCCGAGCTGCGTTTTCAACTCCCTGCGCGCGCGCGCATGCATAAAGGCGCTTCGCCTCACAACGCAAAAATTACCTCACAATTCGCGCGCGTCCCTTTGCGCGGAGAGGCGTCGGCGAGCGCCCCTTTCGCCATCCCAGCCCCGGCTGAAGCACCGTCCCTTCTCCGCCTCATCTCCGCGGGCGCGCTCTTCACGCCTCCCATTTCAAAAAGTACTTCGCTTCTGCCGTTGCTCTTTGGCAACCGCGACAAGCGGCACTTCGCCGAGTGTTGGAAGCGTTCCACATAACGGCCGTTTATCCACGCAACGGGCCTTGCAAGGCAGGCCAGTATTGTTACGCCCATACGGAGGTGCGTGACTGACGCTCAGAAAATACGGTGGCTTGTCAGAGGCCATCTGGTAAGTTAAATGGCTGAGACAGGATTTGTAATTAAGGCAGCAACTGAATCGCAGCTCATACGTACTCTGGTAGCGTCCGCAACATGTGGCTTGCCCCAAAGCATCCTGGGAAGTGTTGCTTACACCCTCACAGAACTACGATTCCAAGCACCCTTAACAAACTACAATTCCCAACAGGTGTGCCAACTTGAATAAAACATGTAAGCCCCACCCACAAGATCAATCATGTGATGCAGCACACACACACTATTTGAATGGCAATGTCAATCAACTGGGGGGGGGCAGTTCCCTCAAATATTTTATTGCAGGGGCCAAATGGACCTTGGCTACTAAGAGTTGGCTCCTGTGATTCCCAGGAATATTGGAGGGAAGCCATGTGGATGTCACCTCTAACTTGGCCACCATCCATGCTATGCCATCTCTTCAAATAAGCTACTTCTTTAGTTGGGGAATAAACTACCCATTTTCCCTCTCTACTTAGTCTTTCTCCAACACATTTCCCATCCTGTGACCATTGGCTTTGGGCGTTCTGCAGGGGTCTGTCTAATTTGGTATCTGCACAAAACCACTGGCTAAGATTGCCCAGCTCTGAATCTCCTTTTGATCTGATTGTAGGGAAGCTGTGGGAATTCTGAATCAGCATCTGAAAGCAATGAAAGGATTGGATATGGCCTAACAAACTGGAAGCTTATGCCAGACTAAATGGAATAATGGATGACAGGAGGCAGGTATGACCTAGGAAGCTGTTTTTCGCCTGTTTTTGGGGTGGGGCTGTACTCTCTCTAAAGAAGCAGGTATGCAGCCTGGGGATATTTATGGATCCTGTCTTCTGCCTGGATAAGCAGGTGATATCTAGGCCAATATGTGGTCTTTCTTGGAGGAAGCTGATCTTGCTATTGTTACATAGGCCAGGCATAGGCAAACTCGGCCCTCCAGATGTTTTTGTTCTACAACTCCTATGATCCCTAGCTAGCAGGACCAGTGGTTGGGAATGATGGGAATTGTAGTCCAAAAACATCTGGAGGGCCAAGTTTGCCTAAGCCTGACATAGGCCCATGCCATGGTTGTAGCCAGGGGAGTGCAGGTGGGGCAGATGCCCCCCATCAAGTAAATAAAGATACTTAACTAACTGATCAATTGAGTCGCAGATAGCTCGGTCCCCCCCCCAAAAAAAAAACCACTCCTGCCCTCCCAACATAAATCCTGGCTATGCACATGGCCTAGAGTACTATGATACATTTTACATGGGACTGCCTGTTATAGTGTGGTTTTAGGCTTTGTAATTATGTTATAAGATACTATCATTTTAAAAAATACATTGTGAGCCACTATGGGAGGGCTAATCCTTGAAAGATGGCTTATGTAGATCAACATCAATAAAACAAAGGTGTTCACAAACTTTCGTTGATGGCACAAAATGTGGTAGAAAGACCTGTGACGGGAACATGGTCATTTGACCTTCTTATACCTATATGTACTTTATTAGCTGCACTGGGTTCCATTTTATTTGGGGGTCTAATTCATGGTGCTGGTTCTTGGTTTAAATGGTTTAGGATCTGATATCAGGAGGACTGTCTCCTGTCACAGGAATTGACTGAGGGAAGATAGTGAACGGCTAACTGTATTGTCTAGACTTCAGTGGAAAAATTCTTAATTACGTCTTCAGAACAAGACCATTTGTTTTCCACATAGTACCCAGAAGAAGTTTCTTTTGTCTTAGACAAAAGTTGTCATATTTGTTCTAACTGGACTTTAGTGAACTTTAGTGAACAACTGCCATTAGCTTGCAGTTAAGAGTTTATGATGTCGTTCTCAGGTTACTCGGCAGGCTTCCTATAAAAGGGAATTTAAGAGGACTGTGGCTGATTCCTCCATATTCAGCCTCCTTTGCAACATCTTTAGGGCTGCTGGAGTTAAAGTTCATTTGAGACTGAGAAAACTACTCCAACGGCTTTGAGAAACCACTCTTGATGTAACACCAGTCTAGAGTAAGACTTCTGACACACGTTGCTTAATTTTAGTGTTATACAGTTTATTGTTCTTTCCTTGTGACAGCCTATAATTTCTTCTTAGTTAAATTGCTAAATATATAAATTGCTTTGTATAACTTGCAACGCTCGTAGTACCCACAAGCTTCTTGACTGTTAAAGGTGAAAGTTACCAGTAAGTGCTGAAGTGGTGTATATATATATAGAAGTAAGTTTGGAAGAACTGGTACAGTAGAGGACTAGATTCCTTCTCGTATAAGTTACTCCTGAATTCAGGATCCTACTGGCCTTGAAACAAAGTGAATAACTAGGCAATTGGTGTTGGTCTGACGCAGTCAAAATAAAAAAAATAAATAAATAATTGTCCAGTAGCACCTTAGAGACCAACTGAGTTTGTTCTGGGTATAAGCTTTTGTGAGCATGCACACGAAAGCTTATACCCAGAACAAACTTAGTTGGTCTCTAAGGTGCTACTGGACATTTTTTATTTTATTTTAGTGCTGAGGCTTTGGCACTGTGGAAGACTCTATTCCCCATTTTGAACCCTTTTAAAGTAATAGTGCTGGAGGCCTCAAGTAAAGGAAGGAGCAAGCTCCTTAGGGCAGCTGTGGTGCATCACAGTGAATTATGTAGATTTGTGTTAGCACAGCTGAAGCTTATAGGATGGTGATGGAAATCAGCTATGATTTCCAGCCAGAACCTAGTAGTCTGACCAGGATGAAAGCTCACATAGCAATCCTTGCAGGACCCAACATCAGCTGACAACGGAGAGCAGGCAGCAAGTAGAGGGTAAGTCTGGGCATTGCAGGGAACTGGGAGAGCCCCCAGAAAAACCAACAACCCGGGTATTGTTTTGTCAGTGGAACCTCATTTAACTCCTAAATGATGAAGCAGAGCTCTTAAGTGTCTGCTCTCTATCCCATCCCTCACCTGTAAGCTAAGCAGAGCCATGGCTTGAAACTATGCACTGCAGGGCTGCTGGGTGACCACCGGCTGTGTATTTTCTGTCAGGAACTTTGGGGCGGGGGGTGGGGCTTGGCAGTTAGTGAATTAGTGGAGGTACACCAGATATTTTTGCTTTGGGAGTTTGGGACCCTGGCCTTAGGGGCAGAGTGAGACATCTTTCCCCAAGATGGTACCTTTTTAAAGTTTGCTTATTGTTAATTCATTGTATTTTTATTGCTTTTATTAAAAGATTTTCATAGTTTTTTGTGTCAGCATTGTGAGGATAGGTTCTTTGTTTGTTTGTTTTGTTGGCAGTAGGAGAGGCTGGAGAGCCCAGAGCATGCTTAGTTGCATTTAGTTGATTGCAGTGAGGTGTTTTTTTGTGTGTGTGAAGGGCCCAGTGTGTGTGTTTGTTGGGTCAGATTAGCCATATCAATTTGTATGCTGTTGGGGTGGGGGTTATGTTGTTGTCTTGTGGGGCTATATATGTAATAAAGGGGAGTCATACTAGGGTGAGGGCATCCTTGTTTGTCCCTGTGTTCGTTTCAATCTGTTGGTTAGCTTTTCTAGTAGGACTGTTTCCCATGCAGTTTGGTACCAGTGATATTATTTCGTTTTGTAATGTAGAATGGTAGCGATTATTTACCCCCAGACAGGGCTGAAGGATAATGCAGTGTTTCGGGAGACACTTGCTTTCACAGATCTCTACAGACCCTCTCTTCCTCACGGAAGTGGTCTGTAGTATCAAAGGATGGCAACATAACACTTGTCTTTATATCCACTTACATACCATGAAGCACATTTCTAATAATGCTACAGCAGCTGCTGCTAAATGTTTCTGTGATAGTGGGATCTGCCTCATGCTGTTACACCAAGGAAATGCAAAGTTTCCCGTGCAAGAACAATGCCACATTTTGTGATTTACACCCATATTGTCTTCATTGAACCCCACCTTGATCTCCCATTTCCAAATGTAACCGCTTCCAGTATTGAGCCCTACCAATTAAGATCAGCTGTTTTTTTAACTAAAAAATGGAAATGATTCCATCTCTTTGAATTGTTAGTGGAACTATGAAAAAGATATGTGTTCAGAATAGAGGTGCACTAGTTCAGTCTGTTGGCATTTTTGTTTTTATGATAGAGTGGAAAGGAGAAGATATATTACTAAAATAAAGGCTTTTTACATCCTAAAAGATAACAAATGGGAGAACAGTACAGTGGTACCTCAGGTTAAGAACTTAATTCATTCCGGAAGTCTGTTCTTAACCTGAAACTTTTCTTAACCTGAGGTACCACTTTCGCTAATGTGGCCTCCTGCTGCTGCTGCATGGCTGCTGCACGATTTCTGTTCTCATCTTGAAGCAAAGTTCTTAACCCGAGGTACTATTTCTGGGTTAGCGGAGTCTGTAACCTGAAGCGTCTGTAACCTGAGGTACCGCTGTAAATGCAAAGTGGAGGTAGGAACAGATACCTGGTAGTAAACTGAAAAATAACTGAAGGAGAAGAAGATTCAACTCTAAAAAAGCAGTGCTTTTAGTAAAGAAGTGTTTCCAAGGCAGCATAGATTGCGCTCTGCTTTTTGGGAGCTGTCAGAAAGTCATTAGCTTGATTTGCCAGAGGGGCCTTTTACAAAATTCCATGGTTCAGACCTTAATGGTAGAATAACTCCAGCAATGATCCCCATGTGATGCTGCTTTTATTGTTGTAAATTAGTCATGATCAGCAAAGCCAAAACGTGCAAGTAATAATTTTGAAAATGTTCATGAAATCTGTTCCAATACACTTTACAATTCCTGAGCTGTTATGTCATAAATCCCCATCTGGAATTTGATGCTGCATGTTTAATTTTTTAAAAATACAAATATTGTTGAAGACTAGTAAGTCGTGTATAATTATAATGAAAATAGGCTGCACAAGGCTTGCATCCTTCAGGATCAGAAGTGCCCCCCCCTCCACCTGCACAGATCAAATAAGCCAGGTGGAGTTGCTCGTTCCCTCCACCCTTTCCCTGTAGTATGAGGCTTGGCATTGTTTTGCACTCCCCATTTCCCTGAGTAGCTGGATGTCCATGGGCACTTTTTTACAAGCTCTGCTTCCTTGTGATGAAGGTGTAGTGGACAGTTGTGAAGTTTTATATACAGTGGTACCTCAGGTTAAGTATTTAATCCATTCCGGAGGTCCGTACTTAACCTGAAACTGTTCTTACCCTGAAGCATCACTTTAAGTAATGGGGCCTCCTGCTGCTGCCGCGCTTCTGGAGCCCGATTTCTGTTCTTATCCTGAAGCAAAGTTCTTGACCTGAAGCACTATTTCTGGGTTAGCGGAGTCTGTAACCTGAAGCGTATGTAACCTGAGGTACCACTGTACAAATATGAAAGCTGAGTACAAGGGAGCAGATAAGCACTCAGACAGACGGGGCTAGTTTGTAAGTCATCTGTTGCAACATGCTTCCTCTAGAAAGCTATTCGGCTGCACTGTGTATGCTTTACTGCTGTCTAGATTGGGATGAAGATACCTGGGGGATTTCCTCCTCCACATCAACCTACCTGTGCATGCATATTGTTTTTAGTGCACTCCTATATGTGCCAGTGCCATCTAAGATGAGGCAAGTGTCACTGGAGAGAAGGCCTGTTCAGTTGTGCCATCCAACTGACGGAAGATGTTTTTAGCTTTCCCGTTACATAATACAGTAGTGCCACTTCCCTTAAAGGAGCCATTATTCTGAATAAAACATTTTCAGGCTGGTAGTACCTTGGGAAGAAATCATTTGTCAGCGGTGCAGCCCTGTTTGCACC